CAGGGGGGCGGGGGCGGGGAGCCCCGGGGAGCTGATGGGGTCGGCCCGGGGGTCCCGGGGGAAGTGGAGGTAGTGAAGGGGCAGCCGTTCGACGTGGGCCCGCGCTACACGCAGCTGCAGTACATCGGCGAGGGCGCGTACGGCATGGTCAGGTGAGGGGGCGTTCCGGGGGAGGGGGCCCCGCGGGAGGGGGCAGGGAGGGGTGCTGAGTGCTCTCTGGGCCGTGGAGACTCCGAGCGTCCCGAAGAGGCAGGGGCTCCAGGGGGCTGGAGAGCGTCCCGGGGCGATGGCTTCTGAGTGCTTTCTGGGGGAGGGGGCGCAGTGTATTCGAAGGAGAGAGGGCCTGGGGGCTTTGAACCCACTATTCTAGAATGAAGGAGGGCCATCTGAGTACGTATATGTGCGGGAGCTGTGGGGACCTTGGGCACCCTATAGACACGGGGTGAGGCGAAGAGAGTAAGTATTCTTGGGGAGGTAATATCCTTAGTGAAGAAGGAGTGAAGGACCCTTCTTTGGGGAGAAGACGCCTTGGTTCCCCCAGTGAGGCCTGCCAAGGAGTTTGGGAGAGAAGAGCGGGGCTCAGGGTGGGGCAGGGCTTTGGGCCTGGGGCCAGGGGCCCAGTGAGCAATGAGCAGTCCCGGAGTGCCTCCCTGCAGCTTCGAGGAGGGCTCTGGGAGTTGTCCCAGCCCTGCTGTGTGCTCTGGGCATTTGTTCATCTGGGAACAGCTCTGCTGCCCAGGTCCCTCGCCCTGACACCCATGCCTGCCTTATCCCTTTTCTCCAGTGTCTCCTGTGACTCCCTCCTTCTCACTGTATTTGCCTCACTGTACGTCCTCCACTCATCTCCCACCCTCTGGACCTGTCTTGGGATGAGGGAGCCCATCCTGGGCAGAGGAGGATAACGGGTCAGGGCAACTAGAATGGAAATGGTTGAGGAGAGGGGAAGCCAGTGGTCGGTCAGTCTCTTCCTCTGTTTGTGAAGTCACTGAAGGGCTGCCTGGCTGGTCCCCAGCTTTCTCCCTGGAGATCCCAGGCCTTCACAGCAGGAAGGAACCAGCATTGTTTATGACTTGGCCAGAACCCTCTCTTGCTCCCTTCTCTCCCTGCCAAGGCCTGGGTGGGGCCACCGGGCCTGTACTCCTCCTTTGTAAGGCCACACCAACAACATCTCTCTGGCCCTCTCAGCTCAGCTTACGACCACGTGCGCAAGACTCGAGTGGCCATCAAGAAAATCAGCCCCTTCGAGCATCAGACCTACTGCCAGCGCACGCTGCGGGAGATCCAGATCTTGCTGCGCTTTCACCATGAGAATGTCATTGGCATCCGAGACATTCTGCGGGCGCCCACCCTGGAAGCCATGAGGGATGTGTATCCTTCACCTTGGCCAGATGGCTGGCCAGGCACAGCCTCAGAGCTGGGCTGGGAGAACACTGGCTTTCTTTCTGTTTCCTTCTTCCCTACCACCCTCCAAAACAAACCCAGTAAAAGAAATTTTCCAGCAGAAAAGAGGCCACAGAGTGTAAGAGGACCAGGAGGCCTCAGATGAATCCTGGCCTGCTGCAGCCATGCAGTGTGGCCTTGGGCAAGTCTGTTCTCTACGCTCTGCCTCAGTGGGGGGCTGGGCAAGATGGTATCTATGGGAGCTTTGTCTTCTGACATCTGCAATTCTGTGCTGGGAGCCAGCCTCTGCCCACAGTCAGTTCTTGTTTAACAGATGATGATTCTTCTCTGGGTCCTCAGACTGGAAGGAAGAAAGCTGGCCTTTTTTGAGGGCCTACTATGAGTCAGGTGCAGTGCATGCCAAGTGCTTTGACATCTCTTATTCTACCTCCCAACTGCCCTATGAGATGGGTCAATCAGCTCCATTTCAAAGATGAGGACACTGAGGCTCAGAAAGCCTAAAATCAAGTGCTTCTGTTGCTGCCTGCTCCCCTCCCCCAGATGAGAACCAGTCCTTCTTTCTCTGAGACTTCCTGCTCAGAACCCCACCCCAATTACCTGTGGACTTGAACCTTGCCCAGGGAGGGACAACCGTGCCTTCATAGCCCTCCCCCCATATCGCTTTCCTAGTGTATTGTCCGCTTCCTGCCTGGCTGTTAGCACCTTTGTAACACCCGCCACCTCTCCCCCACCACCCCCTCCCCCCCCCCCCCGCCCCGAGTCAGTCCCAGTCCTCCACCCAAGAGTGGGGATTTGTAGCGCAGTGTCTGCAGCCCCTACCACAAACTGTGGGCAGGAAATCTCCACACTCACCCCCAGCTTGCTGTGTGACCGTAAGCAAGTCACTGCATCTTGCTGGGCCTCTTCATCTATAAAACAGCAGGGTTGGTCCAGTTCTCAGAAGGCCCTTTTAAGGCTGATTCTAAAGACAGTCCTGACTCATTCTTCCAGACACAATCAAATGACATTTATTTACTTATTTATGTTTAATCTTTGTTTTATCCTAAAATATAAAAGGACATTTACTCCTCTATCTTCTGATGTATGTCCAAGCACTCTTTGAGTAGGAGTGGGCTCTTGGGAGTTTCTCATATGTCTTGCACAAACCATTCCCATAAGGCAGGCATTTATTTTAAAGCAAACATTTATTACATGCCAGATGATGTTCATACATTATTTCATTTGACCTCAACAGCCATGTGGCTCAGGCATATATAACAGCAGTACTAGTTCTTGTTTGCTGAGCGCTTACAACATGGCAAGCAGGGGCAGGCTGCTTTACACGGGTCATTTCATCTAATATTCACAACCACTCTCTAAAGAACAGTTCTTCCCCCTGCTTTACAGATGAGGAAATCGAGGTGCAGAGAGGTTGAGGTCACGAAACCCACGAGCAGTGGAGTCAGGGTTTCAGACACGCAGGTCAACTCCAGAACTACTGCTTTTAACTGGGCAGTTCTCCTGCCTCCCCCACTTTATTAGTCCCGTTTTCCCAGTAGAGAAACTGAGACCACAGAACTGAAGCGCTTTGCTCAAGGTTACCAGCTGAGGTACATTAGAGGCCCCGAGCCCAACTGCTGAGCATTGGCCTTGCCCAGCTCGTGATGTGGGTTGGCAGATCTGGGGAGTCCCAGGGGCACCAGTTGGGAGAGATGTGAAGCCTGCTCACCAGAGCCTGTTCTTCTTAACCAAGTGCCTCCTGCTGCCCCCACCTGGGGGATCTCCGGTGCCATCCTCAGCTACATTGTGCAGGACCTGATGGAGACAGACCTGTACAAGTTGCTCAAAAGCCAGCAGCTGAGCAACGACCACGTCTGCTATTTCCTCTACCAGATCCTGCGGGGCCTCAAGTATATCCACTCAGCCAACGTGCTCCACCGGGACTTAAAGCCTTCCAACCTGCTCATCAATACCACCTGCGACCTTAAGGTCAGAGGGTTGGGTACCTGTCCCCTCCTCCCCTGGGGTCTGGGGCTTCCAGGTGACCAGTAGCCCCCATGGGTAGGAGAGTATTACAAGCAAGGGGAACAGCATGGGCAGAGCCATGGCTATATGATTAGTTGGGTTGGGGTGGCCTTGAGCACCAAGCTTAGCAGCCTGGGTTGGATTCCAGATCTGTGATTTTGGCCTTGCCCGAATTGCTGATCCTGAGCATGACCACACCGGCTTCCTGACAGAATACGTGGCCACACGCTGGTACCGGGCCCCAGAAATCATGCTTAACTCCAAGGTAGGGGGGCCACCCACCCCTGAAGGGAAGGGGCCAGGTCCCAGAAAGCCCTGGAGCCACCTTTGAGCCAGACACTGAGTCCCATGATGCAGGAAGTCTACCCCCTGGGCCTTGTCACATTACTCTTGTCCTTGGGCTCTGGAAAGAAGCTGAGCATTAGCTCCTCTGGACCTCTGCCCTCTGCCTCCCTGACTGGCTTGAATCTGGGTTGGGGATGGTAGCTTGGCCCAAACAACAGAGCCCTTTTGAGGCTGGCCCAGGAGCCCACCACTTTCTCCTCCTCCCCAGGGCTACACCAAGTCCATCGACATCTGGTCTGTGGGTTGCATTTTGGCTGAGATGCTTTCCAACCGGCCCATCTTCCCTGGCAAGCACTACCTGGACCAGCTCAACCACATTCTGGGTGAGGGGGGCCTGGCCAGCAGAATGGGAGGGAGATTAGCTTATCAGAAGGGAGATTTCTTTAGGGTTGGGGTCGGTGAGTCTCTGGGCATCGAATCAGGGGTACCACCACATGTGGAGCCTGTACAGTATCTTACAGTATTTCAATGAGGTATAGATACCATCCCCATTTGATAGATAGGAAAAGCAAGTCTACACTCCACTGTTAGAGCTGGGGTTTGAAGCTAGGGCTGCCCAAATCCAGACCCCTTGCTTTTCACCACCATAGTATTGGCTGGGAGATAACTGTCAGGGCCTGGAGTGGATTGTTGGGGGCTCTTGTTCTTGCCTCCTTCTGTTCCCAGAAAGGAGAGGCGATCTCTCACCAAGTTACCTGCCTTACCCACAGGTATCTTGGGCTCCCCATCCCAGGAGGACCTGAATTGTATCATCAACATGAAGGCTCGAAACTACCTACAGTCTCTACCCTCCAAGACCAAGGTGGCCTGGGCCAAGCTTTTTCCCAAGTCGGACTCCAAAGGTGAGAGAGACATGGGGGCTGATGTGGGATAAAAACTGGGTGCAGAGGAGGGTACATGAGCCCAGCAGCTGCCTGAGTAGACAAGCCCCTGGGCGTGGAGAAACAAAGTAGTGCCTCTGGGAGCTCCTCCGGCCTTCCCTTTGACCCCTGACTCTTGCCCTTTTCTAGCCCTTGACCTGCTGGACCGGATGTTGACCTTTAACCCCAACAAACGGATCACAGTGGAGGAAGCGCTGGCTCACCCCTACCTGGAGCAGTACTATGACCCAACAGATGAGGTGGGTCAGCCGCCAGCAGCAGCGCTGGCAGATAGGTGGATGGGTAGTCCCTCAGTACCTGGCCTGAGCCTTACTTCTTTGCTACCCCAGCCAGTGGCTGAGGAACCTTTCACCTTCGACATGGAGCTGGATGATCTACCCAAGGAGCGGCTGAAGGAGCTCATCTTCCAGGAAACAGCCCGCTTCCAGTCTGGGGCACTGGAGGCCCCCTAACCTGGACAGACGCCTCTGCTCCCTGGGGCCTGGTGAGTGCTGCCCACTGCCCACGCACAGATTCACCCTGATACCAGGGTGCCCAACACACCTCCATACAGTCACAAGCTTGCTCATGCCCATGATCCACGTGTATGGTGGCAACAGAAGGGCCCAGAGCCTGCCCAGGCCACAGACCTGAGGTCCACCAGTTCTTTATGTCCCTTCTCTCCCCCAGCCCCAGATGTCTCCCACCTATCCACACTCAGCATCCTCCAGCCCCAGTTGCCATTCCGGGCCCTCAGAGGTCACTGAGGGCCCCTCTCACCCATCTGAGGAATGGAGCCAGGTTTTGGCTCTCCCAGTATGGGCAGAGAGGCAGCTGGGGCAGTAATTGTTTTGGGAGGAGCTGGCAGTACCCAGCCTGACCCAGATGCCAAGTTTTTTCACACCTGGTGGCCAGGTCAACAGTTCACATACCTTTGGGGGACCCTGCTGGGCCTACCCCCACCCACACTGCTTTCTTTCCCTCCTCTAGTCTCCTTCCTGTATTTGGCCAGCTGTGACCTGATAGAAGGAAGGCAAACACACTGGGTTCAAACCCCAGCTCTGACACTTAATAAGAGCTCTTGTGATATTGTGATATTGTGCAAGACACCTCACCTCTCTCTGCCTGTTTCCTGGAGACGGTCCTGATAATAAGCGCAAACACAGAGCACTAAGCATTGTTCTAAGAGGTTGACGTGTAGTAACTCATTTAATCCTTATAGCAGTACCTTGAGCTAGGTACTAACGTGATCCCCATTTATAGATAAGGAAACCGAGACACATCCCACTCAGCTGTGAGGATGAAATGAGAGAAGCTGAGGTCAGGGCTCCGGCAGGTCTTCTGGTGGGTGCTAACGGTTCCTTTCCTGCCTGTCTTTTTGTTTAGGCCCTGCCTCCTGCCTGCCCCTCCCCTGCCGGACTGTTAGAAAATGGACACTGTGCCCAGCCCGACCCTGGCAGCCCAGGTCGGGGCAAAGGGTGGGCCTGGCCCCCTTCCCATGCTTTTCTCAGACCTCCTACTTCAGGCGAGCCAAGGCTCCCTCCAGCCCCGCCACTCCCAGGACCTGAGGGGCTCAGGTGGCCCCAAAGCAAATTCCCCTCTGCTGCTCTGCCTTTGTCTACCCCAGCTATCCCAGTCCCTGGCAGTTCTGGAGTCGAAGGGCTTTGGCTGCCCTGGGACCTACTGAGGGGCGGTGGGGGAGGGGGGGTGAGGGACATTGAGTAGGGATTCAGGGCAAGCCCTGCCCCACCCACCTCATTAAAACCCCACCCCATTTTCCCTGAAGGAACATTCCTAAGGCTCAAGGGCTAGTATCCCTGAGGAGCAGGGCCCAGGCCTGAACCCCGTCCCCTCCCCAAAGCTGCCCATCTAACGCCCCCCGCTGATTCTGTGTGTGGGTGAACAGAAGTGGAGGTGGGGGCACGTGGAGAGCCCTGTGCCCCTGCCCACTCCCTGTGCCTGTATCTAATATATAAATATAGAGATGTGTATATGATGGCCTTGGCTCTTTCTGTGTTCGCCGATGCCCTGACCCTAACAGTTGCTGCTTTGCGGACTGACTCTCAGCCCAGCTGCTTCCCAGCTGTGGCTTTACCTGGCCCTGGTCACCTCTGGCTCCCCAGCCGGCCAGGGTTCAGGTTGGCAGTGTAAGGAGCTCCAAACTCCTGGACAGAGTGGGGTCAATTTTCCCCTTAGTCACTCTCCTCGCTCCTCTATAATGGCTTCCCATCTAACTGGCTGAGGGTGATTTGGGGGTGATGCAGGGGCACCCTACACACACCCTGATTTTCTGGAAATGGCAAGGGGTGGTGTGTTTTATACCCTGGCCACACACACCAGTGGGAAGGGGGAAGGCTGTAGCAGATCTGGTGTTGAAGGACTTGATTCCCCAGTCTGGCCAAGGACAGAGGGGTGCTGGGGTCTATGAAGGGTCTGGGGGTGTGAGGGCCAGAGCTGCCTGGCCTCTACTCCCGCCTCCACCTCATCCCCAGCTGAGCCCTGCAGCCTGGCCCCAGGCCAGCAGCAGGCTCGGCAGGTCCCCGGGGCGTGGTATCAGCCAGGGGTGGAGCCAGCCTGTATTGGCCAGGCAGTCAGAGAGGCAGCACAGTCCATCAGGAACGGCTGAGCTCGCTGCAGCCAGAGCCCGGAGAGGCAGTGTGGCCATGAGCCCTCTGCTGTACTATGCCTTGCCCGCCCTGGGCAGCTATGTCATGCTCTCCATCTTCTTCCTGCGCCGGCCTCGCCTGCTGCACACCCCCTGGGTTCCAGCCTTCTATCCCCGCCTGGGGGCCCACCGGGGAGGTAAGCTGGGCGGAGGTAGGATGAGGGGGTGATGGCTACTGAAGGTGGAGTGAGGATAGCAAGAAAAGTGCCAGGGCAGACAGCAGAGAGGGGTAGGTCCAAGGGAGAGCATGTTAGAGGGCAGAGACCAAGGTAGGAGGAGAGCAGGGTGGTGGGGCAGGATGTGGAATGCGGAAGAAATTCAGCTTGGGCCAACTGGGGGTGATAAGGCAGGGGCTAGGGGAAGCAGGGAGGCCGGACACCAGGGACCCACCCCAGCCACCCCACACAGGATCTGGAGAACGGCTGGAGAACACCATGGAGGCCATGGAGAAGTGAGTGCACCTGCCTGGCCAAGCTGCTGGGTAAGGTTGTGCCGGTTGTGCACTGCATGACACCAAGGGGTGCCACTCACTTCCTAGTCTGGGTGACCGGAGCCTCCTGGAGGTGTGTAGCACACAGCCTGCACATTCCACCTCGAACTCTGCCCCATGCTCCCCAAACCTCCCCACCACCCCACAGTCTGGCCCATCCCCGTCCCCCTCCCACCACTGACCTTCACTCCCTTAGCTCCATGGCCCAGCGAGCTGACCTCCTAGAGCTTGACTGCCAGCTGACACGGGACGGCGTGGTGGTGGTGTCGCACGATGAGAACCTGTCCCGCCAGTCAGGCATGAATAGGGATGTGGGCAGCCTGGACTTTGAGGTGGGCCTTGCCCCCACTGTACCCAGAGAGCCACCATGCCTCCCTGCATGCCTCCTGGTGACATGCTCCCTGCTCTCCCCAGGAGCTGCCCCTCTACAAGGAGGAGCTGGAAGTTTACTTCTCACCAGGTGAGAGCATGGGCTGTGAGCCTTGGGCTGAGCCAGCCCCCGCGGGGTCATGGCCTCAACCTCCTGCCCTCTCTTCTCTGGGACTCGCTCCCCGCCCTCTGGGTTCCCACCCCCACCCCACCAATCCTTTTCTGATCCCTCTTCCTACAACCCCCCAGGCCGCTTTGCACATGGGTCAGACCGGCACATGATGCGTCTGGAGGACTTGTTCCGGAGGTTCCCTCGGATGCCCATGAGCGTGGAGGTCAAAGGGGAAAATGACGAGCTCATTCACAAGGTGGTGCTGCAGGCAGGGGTGGGCGGGGCCCAGGGCCGGAGAGAAGTCTGACTTTCCCCTTCATCGCCTCCTCCTCTTCCCAGATAGCAGGCCTGGTGAGGCGCTTTGACCGCAGTGAAATCACCATCTGGGCCTCGGAGAAGAGCTCAATCATGAAGAAATGCAAGGCTGCCGTGAGTCCCTGGCCCTGCAGGGGCCTAGGCTGGAGGGGTCTAGGGGTTCTGGAGGAACTGACCATGCGCAGGGTCTCCAAGGGTAGGATTTGGAGAGGTGGGATGGTGGGGAAAGCGTGTGAGCAAAGGCCTGCTGGTGGGCACGGGGAGGTACACTTAGGCCTGCAATGCCAGGCCCAGATGTGGCTCTGATCCTGCAGGTAGTAGGGCTTCCTGAATGTCCAAAACTGTTTCTCCCGAAGGCCAAGCCTCCTCTCTGCTTCCCCAGGAGCAGACTGATCCCGCTTCTTCCTTCCCCTTGCCTCCCAGAACCCCGAGATGCCATTCTCCTTCACAACAAGCCGAGGATTCTGGCTGCTGCTGCTCTATTACCTGGGGCTGCTGCCCTTCATCCCGATCCCTGAGAGGTTTTTCATCTGCTTCCTGCCCACCATCATCAACAGGTACCCACAGGGTCCCTGTCTCCCTTCTTTGTCCTCCTCCAGGCCTCTGGCTATTTCTGTCTTCAGAAAAACACCCCCCACCTCAAGCCCCATTGCACAGGGTCCCCTGTGGAGCGGGAGAGCCAGTTTCCCCAGCTCCCTGGCTACCCTCAAGGATAGATCCTGGGGTGCTTTGAAGTCAGTGGTTCTCACCCGGCATTCATGAATACTAAGGGGGCCACGAACCCCCTGAAATTCTGTGCAAATGTGTGTTGATGCGGATGGAGTTTTAGGACAAAATTCCACCCACCCCTGCAAAGCCCTGGTGCATAGTTGTGTATCCTAGTTGTAGGTCTTTCTAGCTGTTCTATATGGGATGCCACCTCAACATGGCTTGATGAGCGGTGAGTAGGTCCCTGCCCAGGATCCAAACCGGGGAACCCTGGGCCACCGAAGTGGAGCATGCGAACTTAACCACTACACCACTGGGCCGGCCCCTAGGACAACGTTTTTATTCATCCATTCATCTGACAAATATTTATTGAATGCCTACTCTGTTCCAGGTGCAGTTACACTAGTAAATAAGACCAGTGTGGGTGGGGTAAGGCCCTCAGTGAGCTTACAGTCTGGCTGAGGAGACAGATATTAATTACAGCATCACTCTCTGATTCTCAAAAGGAAAAGCAAGCATTTTCCTGCTGGGAGACAAGGATTAACAAAGTAACAGCGCGGGGTGGGGGTTGGGGGGCTGGCCGCATGGCGTAGCGGTTAAGTGCGCGTGCTCTGCTGCTGGCGGCCCGGGTTCGGATCCCAGGCGCGCACCCATGCACCGCTTGTCGGGCCATGCTGTGGTGGCGCCCCACATAAAGTGGAGGAAGATGGGCACGGATGTTAGCCCAGGGCCAGTCTTCTCAGCAAAAAGAGGAGGATCCCCACGGATGTTAGCTCAGGGCTGATCTTCCTCACACACACAAAAAAAGTAACAGCTGGGTAAAGTATCAGGAATTTGGATCCTTCCCCAGCTCTCAAGCCTGGCTCCTCCCTTTGCTTTTTGAGAACTCCTCTGTGGTGGCTCCCGGTGCTTTCTGCTCCCCTCTGTTGTCCTAGCCAGCCCCCACAATCCCTCCCTACAAAGAGATCATTGTACTACAGAACTTTGTATACATACCTTTTAATACACGGTTTACAAAGTGTTTTCACATCCTTTAGTTTATGGGAGCTTTACCTTGCAGCACCCCCAGGAGATACAGGAATCGACCCCCATAGTACCCATGGAGAATCTGAGGCTCAGAGAGGTTCTGTAATTTGCCCAAGGTCACACAGCAAAGCCTGCCTTGGGACATTGTAGAAGGGCCTCTAAAGTCACGCCTGCAGTGGGACAGTTAGGGGCAAGTAGCCAACCCATTAAGCGCTATCTGGTCTCAGGAAGCTGGACCAGCCCAACCAGGAAGACCTCCAGATTACATGTCCAGCTTGAGAATCAAGCGGAGTGCTGGTCCTGGCCCCACCACGGATTTGGTGTGTGACCTTGGGCAAATCACTTTAGCTCTTGAAGACTCAGTTTCCTCTTCTGTAAAACGGTGAGGTGAGGGGCATACCCTCAAAGCAGGGAGTCAAGGATACAGGAGTAGGATCTCACTGCACGATGGGTTCTTGTGCAGTGCAGTTCTAGAAGACCTGCAGAGGTTCTTCTAGAGGGAGTGGGATTATACTAGTTAGGGAGTCACTACCAGCCCACCCCACCCCTGTGACAGAGACCCCCCGCAAGGGGCTGACCACAACACCACCTCTCCACAGGACCTACTTCCCATTTTCCTGCCCTGGGCTGAACCACCTGGCGGCTGTGGTTTCCAAATGGTGAGGTGGGGGAAAAGGTTGGGTGGAGTGTCCACATAAGCCCTGCCACCGCCCTTCTCCTTAGTCCTCTCTCATCATGGTCTTCGCCACCCCCCTCCCCACCAGGTTCATCATGAGGAAGAGTCTAATCCAACACCTGGAGCGGCGAGGGGTACAGGTAATGCTTCAGCAAGTAGGTGGTTCGGCGTGGGCCTAGCACAGCATTCCAGTCATAGCCCTGCCACCAACTAGCTGGGGCACTTGGGCAGGTCACCTTCTGAGTCTTGGTTTCTTCATCTGTAAAATAGGGATAATGGTATATTTAACTCTTCTGGATGTGTAACTGGTACTTAGTAAGGGCTTGATAAATGCCAGCCATGATGCTGCTGCTGGTGTATTGAACTGTCCTGATCCCTGATGAGGGGAGCAGGGGAAAGACCAGAGAAGTGAAAAACCAGCCCAGCCCACCCCCTCCCTCTCTCCTGAGCACCAGCTTTGACCAGGTCATTTAATTAGCAGACCTTTGTTGAGAACGCACTGCGTTCCAGGCCCTGTGCTATCAAGGGCAGAGGAAGGAAATGAAGCAGGTCATCGCAGGGGCAGTGAGTGGACAGAAAGGAAACAGTGCTGTGGTCTTTGGGGTCAGAGAAGGCCTTCTAGAAGAAGTGAGGAGCTGGCTTGCGGTGAGGGGAAGGGAAGAGACTCTCCCCAGGAGGCTCAGCATGTGGGAAGGCCAGGAGGAGCAGGAGGCCATGGCAGTCCGAGGAGCTGAGCCGGGTTCCACCAGGCTGCAGTGGAGGAATCGGCGCAAGGGGCGCTAGAGGCGCTAGAGGAGGCCACAGAGGCTGAGGCAGGCAGCCCGCGCACCTCATTAAGGAGCCAGGACTTCAGCCTGAAAGGAAGAGAAGCTTTTGAGGGGCTTAAGCAGGGGAAAGACCTGATCCAATTGAGGTTTGCTGAGTGAGCGTCACTCTGGCCACCACGTGGAGAAGTGATTGTGGGGGCCACTGTGCAAGCAGAGAGGCTGACGCTGCCACTGACAGGATTTGGGCTCGGGTGGCAGCAGTGGGGATGGATGGAAGAATTACCCACAGACGGGCCAGGACCCGGCCACTGACCAGATGTGGGGGTGACTGAGGCATGGGGATGACAGCTCTTTCAGATCAGCCCTCCCACTCGGCGGGTCTTCACAACTCTGGGAGGTTGGCCCATCACTCTCATTGGTCACATTAAGAAACCAAGAGGTCCAGTGACTTGTCCAGGATACAGATACTACCTCTGCCTATCTCGGTGCCCACAAGAGGGGACTCAGGAGACAGGGAAGATGCGGAGCCGCAGCAGATGCTGGGAGGCATTGGCATGCTGGCAAACCTTCCACAACTGGCTCTCCGGAAATAAAAATAACACCCCGATTTGAGTATTAGATAATTTCCCTGCTGTAGATACTCCCACTCTGGTGGATTTCAGGCTACCAGCATGAAGTCACTGAACACAGAGTTGGGAAGAGGTGTGTGGTAGCCCACCGTTACATAGTATTTCCATCTGACACGTTCAGCAGACATGAATAACCTTCAGAGCACAGGTAATAGTAAAATAATTAGGAAGTGATGAGTTTTGAGTATTTATTACCTTTGTTTTTAATATAATTTATTGAATTGCAAGTTTATATAATTTAATATTTAAGAATGGCTGTGTTTCATAACTAGTTTGCAAAATTCCTGAAAATTTAGCAATCAACTCCAGCATACCACTGCTGGGAGGTCTCCGCAGAGGAGAGCTCCCACCATCTGGATGCAACCGAAAGTTCCAGGTAAAGTTGTTTGGAAACTACAAGCCCCTCCTTCCCCACGCAGGTGATATTTTGGTGCCTTAATGAAGAGGCAGATTTTGAAGTAGCCTTCAGGCTGGGGGCCACTGGCATCATCACTGATTACCCCACAGCCTTGAGGCGCTACCTGGACACCCAAGGAGCAGCTGCCCGGGCCTCCTGAGCCTGGAGGCCCTCGCCCTCTCCCCTATTTCTCTTCCCCAATAAATACTTTCTTTTCAGTCATGTCTTTGTGCTTGGGCGACAGAGTGGGGGAGAGCCTAGAAAACTGCCAAGATGGCAGCTTAGGGCGGAAGAAGCCAGCCTAGGGCGGAAGAAGCCAGCCTAGGGCCAGAGTCTGGGGCCCTAACCAGCCTGACCCACTGGTTCCACTACATTCCAGACCTACAGTAGTACCACACCCTATGCCAGCCTGGCCTCCACTCTCCTCAGGAATGTCCCTTGAGGAGCAAGGCCCCCTGCCCCTTCAAAGCCACAGATAATAGTTCCATTCTCCTGAGGCCATTAAGAGCCCCAGGCACACAGCAAGGGACTTGACTCACATGACTGCAGAGGGTGGGCATGGCTGGGACAGCGCCCATCTGCTGCCTCAGCCATGCCAACCTTCCACTCCCAGGTCTCCTACTCCAGAAGCTCCCAAATTCCTCAGCCCTGTCCAGCCCTAGAGCCCTATTCATTTAGTGAATCACATATTTCACAAATGTTCATTGACTACTCTAGGCCAGGCTGGGTACTGGGGCCACTGCAGGGAACAAGACAAGTCTAGTACGGCAGACACATGTTTAAAAAGACATTTTCGACCGAGTTCAGAGGTGAGCAAGGGAAAGGAGGAAGCCCACAGCAGACACCTAACCCAGCCTGGAGGGGCAGGGACATCAGAGGAAGTGATGCTCAACAGGAATGGGCTGGTTCCGTGGGTCTGCCTCCCCGGGGTCTAACACAGATGGACACCTTTAGCTCTTCCATTCCAAGAGTCTGTCCCTGCTGCTACGGCAAAGACCGTGGAATCAGACCAAAGTCAGAATCCTAACTACCTCTCACCAGCTGGATAACTTCGGGAGAGCTGCTAGACCTCTTTGGCCCTCAGTTCCCCGGTAAAATGGGAACAATAGCGGAAGCTGCCTCGTAGGACTGCTGCGGGGATTAAGGGAGTGGGGCACCGGCGGCGGGTAAAGGCGGATAACTGACTATCATTTCCCGGGGACTTGCGTCCAGACACCATCATCCTCCTAAACCCACGCCAGGTCAGGAACCTCAGATCCTTGCCCCTCAGGGCCGCGCGAGGCCGGGGCGGCGCAGCTGGCTGGCCGGGGGACCGGCCGCAGCCGCATTTCCGGGCCGGCGGGCGCCGGGAGCAGGAGGAAGGGCAGCCCAGGCCTGCGCGGCCGCCGTGTGACGCGCCCCCTCATTTGCATGCTGCGCGTCGATTGGCCACGGCGGCCGCCGGGACCAGAGGCCGGCCCCCTCCCCCTCCCGCCGCAGCCGCGGCAGCAGCTGGTCTCGGTGTAAACAAGTCGCGGCGGCTGCGAACCCGGGCCTGGGGGGACGGCGCCCACCAGGAGCGCCCCCCACTCCCAGGCCAGGCCACCTCGGCGGACCGGGCCCCCGCGCGCCCAGGCGAGGTGAGGCCCGCAACGTCAGGGCTGCGCGTCGCCCC